CCCCCCCCCCCCCCCCCCACAACCTGCTGATCATCAGCCTGGGCTGCTGTTTGCCAGTCCCATCCCCATCACCCTCCTCTGCGGCGCGGGAGAGGATGCTTTCCCCTTGGTCCTGCCCTTCCAAGGTGGGGGGGTGTCCCTCTTTTGCTCCTCAAAATGGGTCAGAAAGCAAGGGATTCCTCCTTGCTCTCCTATCCCAAATACTAATGAGTCCAGTTGATTTGGTTCATCAAGGTTCACAGCTAATTGTGGTCCCCTTGAGCGTTTGTCATCCCTGGGCAGGTCTTCCCTTCTCGCTCGCCGCCTCGCCTTCAGTCGTCCATCACCTCCACAGATTTCATAACAAACTTCTTCAGCAATGGCTTTTTCTGGGGTTGAAAATCACCAGGGGGAGGGGGGGAGAGGAAAGGGAAGCTTTTTCGGTGTCTCTGGGTCCCTGTGACCTCCTTGGTTTGGCCTCAGGACTCCCTCTGCCCTTCCCTGTATTGAGGTCCACCCGAGTAGTGACACAGCATCGCTTTGCCGGAGACACTGAGCCTGTGAATATTGCAGTGGTTTCTGAGCCAGCATTTGGCCTGTTTGGGTCTCACCTGGTGCCAGGGAGCAAAGGGGTGACGCAAGTGACCCATGAAATACCCAGGTGATAACAGAGGGACACCGCTTTGTACCTGGACTCCCTGCAGGAGCTCCCACTCGGGGTTTATCGGTGAAAAAAGAAAAAAAAAGCAGGGGTTTCCAATCAATTCTGTGATTCTCTGTGATTCCCCCAGTTGTATTATGGGGCGATTTAAGGATTTTCCGAGATCCATGAGGCATCAGCAGCCTCAGCAGCATCTTTAATGGCGTTAAACCATCAGCGATGGGTCAGTAGAAGAAATGAAAAAGCAGAAAAGTGCCGAGGAGCCCCCTGAGGGGCTGCGGTGGAGTTGGGGGTCTGTGTGTCCCCCCCGGGGGGGGGTGGGGGGGTGGTGCAAGGGCCGGATCCGTCTCCCCACAGCATCCTCCCGCCCGCAGCTGGCTGCCGGCCGGGCAGCAGGAAACGTTCTCCGCATCCGCCCCTGCCCGCCCGGCCCCGGGCTTTTTTTGTAACATAACTTGTGGTGAGCCCAGTAGCTGGAGGGAATGTGGGGTTGTTTTTTTTTTTTTTATAAAAAGGAATTAAAAAAATATAAAAAGAAGGAGAAAAAAACAAAAAACAAACCAACCCATGGATGCATAAATTAAACTCTCAGTGTTCAGGTAGGAGGGATGCTCCACGCTGCTCCCCTTTCTATAAACAGGGACAGCAAACTTTATGCCATATTAAATTTTGAATGTTTCCCCCCCCCTCCAGCATCAGCTAAAAATTGCATTTAAAACACGTGGTTTTTATTTATTTACTTATTGGCTTGTTTTAATTTTAAAAGTAAGCGCTGGGTCAGATTTGTTATGTTGTTTTTGCGCCTGAAGCTGGAGGAGCTTTAATCACTTTAATTATATTCAGTCGTGGCAGCCTGGAATATTCAAAAAGAACAATTTGAAGAAAATAACTACATATTCGAGAAAATGTGTGGGGCTGCATTACCGTAAAGAACAACAGCGTTTTTTTCTTTATGGACTTAATTTAAAAAAAAAAAAAAAAAATCACCAGATTTTTCCTTTCCCAACATGCACTAGATTTCTGCAGAAAGTAGGTATTTTCAGTAAAAAGTGAGGGGTTTTATTTTTACAGAGCAGTGACCTGACAATCCCCTCCTTTATATTCTTTAATCTTTATATTTCAGCAGCCCAAAGCCTGTGGCAGAGGGGGACCTGTGACAACCTTGATGGCCCTGGTGAGACCTGGGCTGTCCAGATTTTGTCCCCTGAGCACCTGCAGCAAGAAAAGCTGCAAAACCCCCGATTTCTGCTCCAGAGGGTCCCACCGACTGCTAAAACTTGAGGTTTTGGGTGGATTTTTCACCCTTTGGAGGAGAGCAAAGGGCTGCAGCTCCTAAACTGCGTCTTATTTTAATTTTTTTAAATTAATAATAAAGAAAGAGGCTGGTGGGTTTGCGGCAAAATAAATTATGCAAAAAACAGGAGGGAGATGCATCAAGATTGAAATCCTCTGGAGAGGAGCAGTGGGAATTGGCAGCAGCAGTGGCCAAGAGCTCAGTGGGGCAAAGGGCGCACAGCCGGTGGGGTTTGTCCCCAAATTGGGGACAAATTGGGTCAGTGGGAACAGTGGGGGGCCACCGCTCTCCATGCGCCGGGCGCCCTGAGTCACGGTGACTGGCGGTTCCAGCCAGACGCGATCTCTTTGGAGCTACAGCCTTATTATGTGTGACAGCAGATTAACTTGCCCTCGGGACTGGCTTTTTTGGACGTAAATCCCTGAGGAGAGCTAAGGGGGAGGGGGGGGGGGGGGGGCGCTGCAGGCTTGATCAGGGTGGCTGGGGGTGCAGCAAGGGCCACTGCATCCCGGCACAGCCCTCCCTGACCCTCTTGCTCTGCTCTGCAGTCGAGCAGGACCGGGACATATTCTCCCCGAAGCCCTACTGGAAGGAGTTCAGGTTCGACCTGACCCAGGTGCCCACGGGAGAGTCGGTGACGGCAGCTGAGTTTCGCATCTACAAGGCACGGGGTGTCACCCGCCACGCCAACAACACCCTCCACATCAGCATCTACGAGATCGCTGCTGAGCACTCCAACAGGTGACAGGGACAAGGATGGGATGGAGATGTGGATGGGAATGGGGATGAGGGTGGAGATAGGGATGGGGATAGGGAGGAAGGAGGTGGTGGACATGGGAATGGGGATAGTGGGCATGGATATGAGGATGGGGATAAGAATGAAGATGGTGGGCATGGGGATAATGGAAATGGTAATGAGGATGGTAATGGGGATGAGGATGGGGATAGGAATGAAGGTGATGGGCACGGGGATGAGGATGATGGGGATGGGAATAGGTATGGAAATGATGGTGGGGATGAGGATGAGAATGTGAATGGGAATGAAGATAGTGGCACTGAGGGTGAGGATGGGAATGGGAATGAAGGTGGTGGAGACGGGGATGAAGATGGTGGGGATGGGAATGAAGATGGTGGGAAGATGGATGAGGATGAAGATGGGGATGGGGCTCCCCAGCAAGCACCAGCCCCAGCACTTTCCCTTCCCACCACCATGCAAATGCTGAGGGAAGCAGCACCGCCGCGGCCAGCTGTTCCCACGCTTTCCCACCGGGCAATGCCACACCTTGGCATTTTGGCCAGGACTGGGAGGATGCTTTTCCCAGCACAGCTGCCGGGGTGCCACCACCATGTGCGGAACAGCCGGAGGCACCGGGAGCTGCCGTCCTGACCCTGCTGTGCCAGGACCTGTACGGACACAGGCACCGAGGAGTCATTTCCATGAATTACCACCAGTGCCGATGTCCTTTGGGTACTATTACTCACCTGCTGGGTTTTTTCCCCCATTTCCACAGGGAGTCTGACCTGTTCCTGCTGGATGTCCAGGACCTGCGTGCTGGGACGGAGGGCTGGCTGGTGTTTGACGTCACGGCTGCCAGCAACCACTGGTTAGTGGATCGGAAATACAACCTGGGGCTGCGACTCTATGTGGAGACGGATGATGGTAAGCCTACCTGCAGCGTTTGGGGCCAAATCCCCGGGAATTGGAGCCCCCTTGTTTCGCTGCAATTTTTAAATTTCCAGCTGTGATGGGGAAGCAGCAGATGGCAGAAGTTGGCAGAACTGGGTTGGCAGGCAAGCTGGGATAGCAAAACCTCCCCAAGGCATTAATGCTAATGGGGTTCCTGGTGTGGGCTGTAATAACCCCATTAGCACTTAATGAACTCCTCACCTGAAGGGATCCTCCTGTATGTGCTGGAGTATTAACCCTCTTCTCACCAAGGAGTCAAATCTGCTCCAAAGGTGCCATTTGCAGGTGCACAGGTACACAAAGTACCTGGTCCCATGGAGTGGGAGGGAGAGAAATCGCAGCCCTTAATGCCCCATACATCCCCTTTCCTCCCAGTGGACCAAGCAGTGCTCCCCACTGTGTGTGTGGGAAATTGGTCTCACTTGGTTTAAACCCTCGAATTGTTCTATGTGACCATTGTGTGGTGGTGACCATGCAGGATGAGGCCATACTGTCTCTGTAAGCTGCCCATAGTACATCCACCGGGGAGGGGCAACAGCAGAATAGGGGCCCTGGGGGGGTCCAACCACTGGGGATGTCCAAACCACAGCTCCCCACTGCAAATTTCCTGTAATTTTTTTTTTCTCCTTGCTTTAATTGAATGAGTTTTCAGAATTAGTTCATTCTGAGAGCGAACCATGGTCCTGTCCCTGCAGGGCATAGCGTTGACCCGGGCTCGGCGGGGCTGTTGGGGCGCCGGGGTCCCCGCTCCAAGCAGCCCTTCATGGTGACATTTTTCCGGGCGAGCCCCAGCCCCGTGCGCATTACACGGGCAGCCAAGCCCCCGAGGAGGCGGCAGCACAAGAAGACCAACGACCTCCCACATCCAAACAAGCTGCCAGGCATTTTTGGTAAGAGTTTTTGTGGGGTTCCTATGGAAGAGACCAGGCTCTGGGGCTGCCATGATCAAGGGACCTTCTGCACGTACCTTGTCTTGCAAGGAACCCCAATTTTGGTCCAGAAACATGTTCCCAGGGGAAGCAGAGCTCTGGGTTCTTAGGATTGGGGGTCTTGGACAGGTTGAAGTGTTGCCCTTGGCTTTGAAGCTGCCCTGGGAGGGCATCACCCTGGGATGGTGTCACAGCCCCAGGAGGGTGTCATGGACTTGGGAATCTGCTCAGGCAGGAGGGGAGCGAGAAGACCCAGTTCTCCTGAACCCATTTAGCTTGAGGAACCCTCAAAGCCAACTTCACCTGGGATTTCCTGGAATCATAGAATGGTCTGGGTTGGAAGTGATGATCTTAAAGATCATCCAGTGCCACGCCCTCCCCTGGGCAGGGACACTTCCCACCAGACCAGGTTGCTCAAGCCCCATCCAACCTGGCCTTGATGGGGGGGCTGGGTTCCAGAGATGATTTAGCCCTTTCCAGGCTGAATCCCCTTACCCTGATGTTGGAACAATACATTTCAAGCCAGTTTGAAGCTTCTTTTCCCTTTGTGCAGCCCCGGAGGCTCCTCTTCTTCCATTTTCCTCGCCTGACCCAACCATGGGGCTGTTCAATCCCACCCATGAGCAAGGCTGGCTGTAATGGGAAGGAGGGGTCGGGATGCCGGCACCATGGGCTGAACCTGGCTGTCCCCTTCTCCTGCAGATGATGTCCACGCCGCGGATGGGCGGCAGGTCTGCCGGCGCCATGAGCTCTACGTCAGCTTCCAGGACCTTGGCTGGCTGGTACTTGTCCACGGGGAGAAGTAAATGCAATTAAAAAACCACCAAAACATCGCCCCCCCTTGGGATCCCTCCCAACCTCCTGCCCATAAAGCATCTGAGCAGTGTGGGGCAACTGGGAGCTGCTGCAGCCCCATCCCAGGAGCTGGGAAGGCAAAAATGAACTGCCACAACCCCAAACCCCACCACTGACCCCAAACAACTCCTGGCTCAGGCCAAAAATTCCAAATAAACCCTTGCCACTGGCACAGCTGCCCGGGGGAGGAGCCGGCTGAGTTGTTTTTGCAGGTGGGGAATGGGTGAAGGGCACAGAAAAGGTGAAACCCAGGGTGTAACCCCCCCTTTTTTTGTTGTTGTTGTTTTTGCAGGACTGGGTGATAGCCCCGCAGGGTTACTCAGCCTATTACTGTGAGGGGGAGTGCGCCTTCCCCCTGGACTCCTGCATGAACGCCACCAACCACGCCATCCTGCAGTCCCTGGTCAGTGACAGCCCCGGGGGGGGTGGACACCGGTGGCCCTTGGAGAGCCTGGCGGGTCCCCATGGCGAGCTGGATTTGAGGCTGAGAGCGTTTAGGTGGGAGGGTGCTGTTTAGCTCCAGCTGTCAATAAGGCATCGGTGGGGGTGTGCACATCTGGATGGGGGCTCCGCTTCCTCCTTGTCCCTGTGTCCTCCTTGCCAGCCCCAGGGCTTGGTCCGAGGCCCCATGAAGCTCTGCTGCGGCTCAGCACCCAAGCGTTGGGCTTGGCATATTCCAAGCAGGAAGGTTTTAATGCCCCGTTTGGGTTTCTTTCTTTCTTTTTGTTTTTTTTTTTTTTTTCTTCCCAAACCCACCCCGCATCCCAGCCCTGGTACTTTAATTTCTGGAATTTCCTGCCCTGTGAGTGTTTGATTTCCCAATGGCAGAGTCACACCGGCTCCCGGTGTTAATTACAGGGAGCGCCGAGTCCTCAGCTGAGCCTTTGAAGGTGTCGCCTGGCGGGGTTTAATTTTTGTATTAACGAATCTGCCAGAGGCCCCATTTGGGGCTGGGCACGATCCTGGCAGTGGCAGGGAGGGGTCCCCTTTTCCCCTTACACCCCTAAACTCGATGATTTTTCCCGAAACAGAGCGCTTTGGGCAGGATGTGAATCACCTGGCACTCGGATCCGACCCTTCTGGGAAGCGCTGGGGCAAACGCGGCCGGGGAGCTGTGCCAGCCCTGGCCGGGGCTGCAAATAGCAGGGTTTGACAGCAAAAACACCGGACTTCCGAACTGGGAGAGCGCGGCTGCCCCTGCAATAAATTAATTGCACATGTCAGATAAAGCCAGTGAGGGCTGTGTGCCTCCCAGCAGCCCACGAGCCTCCCAGTTTATGCCATACAGCGCCTTACTGGGATAACGCCTGTCCTCCGATGAACGAGAAGGAGGAGAGTCCTGTTGAGAAAGCTGCTGTGTACTTTAAGATTTTTAATGCAATATGCTAAATTTGGGGCGGCGCTGAGCCCTGCAGGAGAATCTCTATTGCAACAGCATCCAGCACCCCCGGCCCACACTGGGGTGAGACCCACACTGCCCGGATTTATTTTTTTTTTTAGCTATTCGCCTATTTACAGTGAGAAAAGGGCCCAGAAATCCCAAATTAATGAAGGGGCTGCCCGGCCCGTGCAGTGCCACCCTGATCCAATATAAACTGCAGCAAGGACTGCCCAGAGTTTAGAATAAATATTTTTGCAAAAAGCTGGAAATAATCTCCCCATTCACCCAGGGATTTTTTTGCAGTTTGATGCTTTTTTCTTCTGTCCGGAGCCACATTTCCCAGTGCTGACAGGCTCCATCCATGCCCCCAGGTCCACCTGATGAAGCCCGAGGCCGTGCCCAAGGCGTGCTGTGCCCCCACCAAGCTCAGTGCCACCTCCGTCCTCTACTACGACAGCAACAACAACGTCATCCTCAAGAAGCACCGCAACATGGTGGTGAAATCCTGCGGCTGCCACTGACCCCCCAGGTCCCTTCCACATCCCCATTCCTATCCCTGAATGTCCCATTACTGTCCCTGAAGGTCCCATACCCGCCGGGGAAGTGTGACACTGGGTTCCTGCTGCCTGTGTGGAAGAGGAGTTTCATAGGCCCCCATCACAGCAAAGCCCATTAATAATAAATAAATAAAATAATAAAAAGAAATTCCTCCCGCCCCTTCCTAGAAGTGGATGTAAATAATATAAAATTTTTATTCTCTTAACTACACTTAATGAGACACAGTCATATCTATACATACATATATATATATAGGGAAGAGAGGATTTGTGGCTGGTTACGTGTCTGTCTGTCGGTGGCTGATGTGTTTTCCCCCTGTGCTGCTGGCCCAGAGGCTGCTGCAGACAGTGTTTCGCAGGGGCAATTAGGGCTGAAGGGTAATTAGGACACGGGAGGCAGCATCCGAGTCTCTGTGGGACTGAGCTGTTTCTAGCCATGTACGTCTAACAAACCCACCTCTACCCAGCGCTTTTAATTCCCTTAATATAAACACCATCAGCCAATTAAGTAGCTGGCTGACTAACCCGCTCCCCTTTACTCAAAAGTTCACGAAACTCAGCCAGTTGGAAAAAAAAATAAAATATCCATATTGAGCTCTGACACTGTTATAAAATAAATGCCAAGTCTGGAAAGTAAACACGCAGTTTCTCTTGCTGTTTGTTTTTTAATAAATGTCACGACACAGCAGCGCTCTGTTCAGCAGAGGAGATTTCGCAACGAAAATACTTGGGATTGGCTAAAATTGTACCTATTTGCTTGAAAATGAGCACTGGCAAACTGCTGTGATGTGAGGTTTAGGTCAGGCTGTGACTCCCTGGCCGGGAGAGTGGCTGCACTCACCCGTGGATGCTTCCCATGGGCTCACAACAGGGCTGCGACCACACCGGCCCCGGGCAGCTTCCCTTCTCTATTTGCACAATTAAGTTATTTATTTGCTGTGATTTTAAAAGGAAAGGGCCTGGCCCGTTCCTCAGCTCGGGCACCCGGGGAACTTCGCATCAATAAGCAAGTAACGAACCTGGCTGAGCCAAATGCAAAGGAAAAAAAAATTCCAATAAACCCACCAAAGTAAGATCCGCTCCCTGCGATGCCTGGATTCATGAGAAATGAAATCCTCATTTCTTTGGAAATTCCAGCTAATTCCACAAGAAATCCAGCTCAGGATGTGATGGTGGCTCCGTGCAACGTCCTGCCTTTTCCAGAACGCCCAGGGCTTCTATGGACTCCTCCACGGAGCGAGGGCTGGAGGTGTCCTGCAAGGGACTGTCATCAGAAATGTGCCATTTAAAGATCAAAAAGGAGGGAGTGAGGAAGGGAAATGCTGGGTTGGTTTGTCCATTTGTCGGGTACCATGTCCGAGTGCCCGCACCTCACCTTGTCCTGGGTGTAGGGGCAACGCACAGCCCCCAAACAGCAGGGAAAACCAGCAAGGGAATAAAAGCAACCCAGAAAGCAAAACATCCCCAATTGCACAAGCCCTAGAAAACACCCCCAAACCCCAGAAAACATCCCCCTAAACCCCAGAAATCACCTCCCAAGCCCCAGCCCCACACATCCGACCCTCATCTCTGCCCCAGCAGCACCATCCCTCCTCCCCAAGCTCAAAGCCGCACACATCCCTTCCTCCCCCGCAACCACACATTCCCAGAAATACCCAGCGCCATAATTTTCACAGGAAACCCCAAATCAATCACTTCCCAACGATGTGGTTACCTGCACGATGCACGGTCAGAGCTGCCCACTGATGGGAACTATAAATGCTCGCCTTTATCCTGCTCTGCAAACCAGAGTCTGGAAATTAAATCCCTTCCTACAGCCTCATCATGTTTTATTTTTATTTTTATTCTATCATAGAATTTTCTAGTTTGGAATAGACTTTTAGGATCACCAAGTCCAACCATTAACACCCAAAGGGCTTCTTTATTTCCTGCTGCTTCTTGTCCAGACCTTGTTCTCCCACTTCCATATCCCTCTCGTGCAGGTGGAGTTGGACCAAGCTGGCTCCCCAGCAGGACGGCCACCAGCCAGGGACCTGCCTCCCTCTGCTGATGGGAAAGGACACTACAGAGCCGGGGACAGGCCAAAAACGCCTCCACCTGGAAAAGCAGGAGAGATTCCACTTCGCTCTTCTTGCCCCAGCTCAGTTAAGTTCCCCTGGAGCTGGGATCGAGGCACCGGATTTGGTAAGATAAGGGCAAATGAAAAAAAGAAACAAAACACTTTTGCTCAAAAGCAAAGACCATCCTCACACGGTGAGAATTCAACAGCCAGGGATAGGTCCTCAGTATTTTTAAAAACTACTTTTTTTATTTTTACCAAATAGAAAGTCTTTCCTGAACACAGCAGCAGAAGGGGCCGGCCCCGCTTGGGGCAGCCCAGGCCACGACGGGCTGAGAAGCCATTTCTCCTGGGGTGGGTGGGAGCCCCGCAGGGCTGTCCCCAGGCACACGCACACCAAGCTTTGCAGGGAAATTTCCACACAAGCTGGGGGAGCGGGGCACTGTTAGGGGGTCGTGGGGCTGTGTGTCCCCTCCATCCGATGCCCTGTCCCCTGCTGTCCAGGCTCCCCCCATCCAGTCCCCTCCAAGAGCCAAGCTCACAGGCACTCCCCGCAGTCCGAGATGATCACCTTCTGCTTCGGTTTCCCATCTTTGGTGCCTTGAGCCTTTGGGAAGAGAGCAGCAAGAATTAACAAAAAAAAAAAGAAAAAGAATTAAAAGCACAGAACCTGCGGGGAGGAAGGAGGCGGGCTCTGCCCCGACCACCGGCACCCACCTCGATCTGCCGCACCACGTCCATGCCCTCTGTCACCTCGCCAAACACCACATGCTTCCCATCCAACCAGTCTGTTTTGTCGCAAGTGATAAAGAACTGGGAGCCGTTGGTGTTTGGGCCGGAGTTCGCCATCGATAACAGCCCTGTGAGCAAAAAGCCCTGTGTTATGGCTCCAGCACGTGAGTTGCTACTTCGACTCAAAGCCCTTCCCATGCGCTGCAGAATGCTGTGGGTTTTAGGAGTATTACACTTCACAGAAACTGGTAGAAACCAATGATGCTGAGAGAGAAACACTTGCAAACATGAAAGATAGCAAGTGGTGGAGATTGCTCATATCTATTTTTAGTTGCAGTAATAGAAAAGCTGTTTGTATGGAGATAAACCTTGCTTGTTGCTGCTTTTCACAGTCACACACTGACTTTCCTCCTCTAAAACCAAAGAGGAGAGCAGCTCAGAGACGCTTTTTCCCCTTCTGTAATGCTGGAAATAAACAGCGTCTGGATGGAGAGACACCGATGGGTTTCTGCTTGCTGAACACCGGTGACATGCGACGGTCTGACCAGGGAAGATTACTACGTGGCAGGTTTGGCCAACATAGATTATAATTCAGGGCTGCCCCTATCAACATGGTCTAGGTCATAGTGCAGCCCCTAAATGATGCCAGGCCAATTTGGTCTCCAGCCCCTGCCTGGGGAGATGGCTCTACCTGGCCCTGTGTGCTTGAGAATGAAGTTTTCATCATCAAACTTCTTCCCATAGATGGATTTGCCGCCGGTGCCATTGTGGTTGGTGAAGTCGCCAGCCTGGCACATGAACTGGGGGATGATGCGATGGAAGCTGCTCCCTTTGAAGCCAAAGCCCTTCTCATGAGTGCAGAGGCAGCGGAAATTCTCTGTTTGGGGGGAAAAGGGGAAGGAGAAGTGAGAGCCACATCACAGCTGGAAGCCACCACGGCTGGGGAGGCCGGTCCTCTCCTCACCTACGGTCATGGGCACCACATCTGAGCGCAGGAGGATCTGCAGCCGCCCTGCAGGCTTGTTCCCAATCTTGATGTCCATGTAAACCTGAGGGTTGGCCCGGGCTTTCTTGGCAGGAGGCTCACCCTGGGCAGGAAAAGAAGAAAAAGCAAGTTGAGATGACACCGCTCCGCTCTCCCTCCAGAGAGGACCGGTCTCACGCTCTCAGCCTTGGCGACAGCAGGGATACAGGTGGGTCTGGTTGTTTTTCCTACCTCCTGTGCCTCTGGTTTGGGGGCTTCTGCTCCTGCCTCCTCTGTATTCTCCTCCAGGGTCTTCCCCGAAAACTTCTTCAGCCAGTCATCATCTGACCAGACTGTGGTGGCAAAAGGAAGGGTCAGGGCACGGAAACCGAACCACAGGGCCATGCGAGGGCACACAGGTGGCTGCTTGGGCCGGGTACCACACATCACCGGGCCACTGCTTTTACAGATGTGGCCAGATGTGTGGGTAATTTTGCCTGGCACATGAGTGCTGCGCCCTTTCTCAGAGGGCATGAAGGCAATTGCAAGCGCAGCCAAGAGTGTTTCGATCCAAGAACTTGGGGAACATTTTTGGTTATTTGGTTATTAACTTATTTGATTATTAATTTATTCAGTTATAAGGCTGCTGCTCAGGTCCCTGAGATCCCAAACAGGAGGCAGAGCAGAGGTCTCTGCCTCAGGCTCTGGGGAAGCAGAAAGGCTGACGCAGGGAGCTCTGAAGGTCCCTGGGGATGTTCTCCCCTCCCAGGCACCAACTCACCAGGCCTGGAGGAGCCTTCTTTAATTCGCATTGGTTTGGCCAAGTTCACACGGATTGTCCTGCCGAAGAGCTCAGACTCGTTCTGCAGAGGGGAAAAAGCACAACAAAGCCCACCAAAAGGTAAAAAAATCACCATTTTCCCATGAATCCCCGCAGAGGTCAGAGGAAAACAGGGCTTGTTTCCTCTACGTGGCCCATGCCACACAGGGCCCCGCTCCGTGCCAATGGGGAGACGGCAAAGCCCCGCGTCTCCGTGGGTGAGTGGGAAGAGGGTCCGTACCATGTTGTCAATGGCCGCCGCCGCATCCTGCCAAAAAAGCAAAGAAAACCATTATTATTATCACGTCTTCTCTCTCTGTCTTTAAGAGCAAGGCCCAGCATACAAGTGCCCCCCCATCTCCTTGCAAAAAAGACTGCCTAAGGACTGTTTTCCTGCACCTCATCTACCCCAGGGCTGTAAAAACTGATGGATCTCGCAAGGGCCGCATCCAAACCAGAATCTGGGGTTCATCTTCCCCCAACCAATCTGTAAACTCATTTTACTTATGATTCTTTATCATTTACATAAAAAATACTTGGAGGATTTTGTGTATGAAGCCCAGGGCAGATTATAAGACAGCAAATATACATCAGCCTGTGCAGCCCATGAAGCCAAGAACCGCCCCCAACAGCTGCTGAGCCTCAGGGACAGGACGGGGGCAGTTTGGGCCAATACGGGCCAGTTTTGGGACAGTTGTGACCATGCTTCAGCTCAAAACAACATGGGAAAAGGAGGGTCTTGGAAAAGCAGAACAGGCAGCTAGAGCACCCCCCACCCCTCCAGCTTCCATCTCTCCCCATCTGCAGTACGGGGTCCAGTTCTGCGCCCCCCAGTTCAAGAAAGACAGGGAACTGCTGGAGAGGGTACAGCAGAGGCTACTAGGACGATGAGGGACTGGAGCATCTCCCTGGTGAGGAAACGCTGAGGACCCTGGGGGTGTTCAGCTGGAGAAAAGCAGATTGATAGGGCACCTCATTGATGCTGAGCAATAGTTAAAGGGTGGGGGGGCAAGAGGATGGGGCCAGACTCTTCTCAGTGGTGCCCGTGGACAGGACAAAGGACAACAGGCACAAACTGAAAGTTCCGTCTCAACATGAGGAGAAACTTCTTTCCTATGACGGTGCCACAGCTCTGGAAGAGGCTGCCCAGAGAGGGTGTGGAGTCCCCTTCTCTGGAGATGTTCAAACCCCATCTGGACACCATCCTGTGCGACCTGCTCTGGATGACCCTGCTTTGGTGGGGGGGTGGAGGAGATGATCTCCAGAGGTCCCTTCTGACCCCCACCACCCTGTGATTCTCACCTCCGCCAACTCAAATTCAACGAAGGCGAATCCCCGGTGCTTTTCTGGAGAAAAAGAAGCTAGTGGTCACGGGCCTGGAACGACACACCGGTCACACGGCCACCCAGCAGCGGCTGGGTCCCGTGTGTCCCCCCCCGAGACACTTCGCTGCCCGGGAGGATGCTCCGAGGAGATGCACCCCCGACCCCGGGCCACGCACCCGTCTCGTAGTCCAGCGGGATCTGGATGTCGGTGATGTCTCCGAAGGGGATGAAGGCGGCGTGAAGCACCTTCTCGTCCACCTCCTCAGCCAGCCCCCCTGCGGAACGGACATCCCTCAGCGCCCGCCGACCCCCCCGGCCCCGCTGCGGGCAGCCCCTCTGCCCCGCCACTCACCCACGTACAGCACCCTCTTGGTGGCCGCCATCTTCCCTCCGCCCCGGAACCACCCCGCCGCTCCGCCCGCCCCGGCCCGGAGCCCTTCCGAGAGGACGGAGCGGGGACACCGAGCGGCGAGCGACCCCCGCTGGGAGCAGAGACACGGTGCCGGCGCCTCCCTGCATTTCCCGAGGGGTTCCTGCTTGTTTTCCTAGGAAAACTGTGAATCTGGCACTGAAAAGTCCATCCTGGGACACACTATCCACCGGTTTGGACCTGAGGAGGCCACGGAGATGCTGAGAGGGCTGGAGCCCCTCTGCTGTGAGGACAGGCTGAGAGAGTTGGGGGGTTCAGCTTGGAGAAGACTCCAGGGAGACCTTGGAGCCACCCCAGCTCCAGGAAAGCTGGGGGGTACTCTTGATCAGGGAGGGGAGCCATAGGACAAGGCTTCCACCTTAAAGAGGGAAGATTTAGACTAGATACAGGGAAGAAAGTTTTTATGTTGAGGTTGGTGAGACCCTGGCCCAGGTTGCCCAGAGAAGCTGTGGCTGCCCCATCCCTGGAGGGGTTCAAGGGCAGGGTGGACAGGGCTTTGAGGAACCTGGTCTGGTGGGAGGTGTCCCTGCCCAGGGCAGGGGGTTGGAACTCGGTGCTCTTTAAGGTCCCCTCTAACTCCAACCCTTCTATGATTCTGGTGTTTTCCAAGCACAAACTAAGTCTTAGTTCCACCACAGAGCTGGTGTGGTCTTATGGTTTGTAGAACCCACAACAATTTCTGTCATTTAGGTAGTTACTCTATCAGGATCTGTAGCATCTAGGCCAACTGCTATAGACTTACTCAAATAACACTTTTTATCCCAAAGGGTCACCCAAAATAGTTTAACAAATCATTATGTGCCCCTTTAGAGTATAAAATACCAACTGCCCTATTGTGACAGAACTGTTAAAAACACAACATCCAGCTGAAAACCTAGAAATATAAGCCAAGAACAGCAAAGCTTCTCCTCTCCTGTGGAGGACACCAAGGGAGCCAACCCACCCCCCCCACACACTTCCCTTGAGAAATGCCCCCCAAACCCTATAGTCACACAAACCAAGCCCAACACCATGGGCCTGTGGCATAATTTTGACACCACTGCTTCAAAACAGCAATTGTCCAAAATGAACAGGCAGAATAACTCCATACCGTCACAATTTTAATGTATCAATGTATTAAACCATCCAGTTTAATTTTAACTAAGCCACATCTCATTTACTCTTCAAATGTAGAGAGGGGAAAAAAATGACAGACACAGTGAAAGTTTTATTCCTTTATTGATAAATGCTTTCCAGACTTTCCAAACTGGATTGTTCAAGTTAAAACCAAAACCCACAAAATAACTTTCAACCTAAAAATCCTCAGTGTCCCGCTCAGAGGACACCAAGGGTAGCTCTGCTCTGACCACAAAGGAAAAGCTTGCAAGCCCAATTCTGGTTTTGGAAATCTAGAGCTTCAGAGTTGGCTTTTTTAAATAAGATCTTAAAGATTAATTTACAAAATGCAATATAACTATGTGATATGATGCACAGCGTTGAGATCTGCAAGAGAGTGAAGAATCCTCAAACATCTGGAGCTGACGGCCACAAAGGGGCTATTTGGCTTCTTGGCATCCTGGAGGAAGAGAGGAAGAGGAGTTACCTCACGCAGTGCCGCCTCACCCCAGGGCAGTGACATTTCCAGCTTTATAAACCGTAATGACTTCAATACAATTTGCAAGGCCCAGAGAAGCTGTTAATAATTGTGGATAATACCCATTTCTGATCATCACACAAATTCAAACTCTTCAGCAGAGAAACCAGTAACTGGAGCCACTGAGACACACATGGATGAAAACAGAAGATCCTTTCATCATCCTTGAGTGTTCCGAGTTACATCTGACCACAACAGCTTCACAAACAGTGCTGAGAAGTGGCAATTCCATGCAACCCACAGAAAAATGGATCATCAAAAGCGAGAAGAGGCATTCAAAGAACCAAATACCTCACGTTAAACAAGACCCAGCTCCTAAAAGAGGAGACAGAAATTGTTTGCACCGCCTGATGCGATGAAATGACATTGCTAACACCAGCACTTTAGTATCTGCTGTAGGTTACTGTGAGGGTCAGGGATATACCAGCCTATTTACCCTCAAAGTCACTACAAACATAGAATGGTTAGAGTTGTAAAGGACCTTAAAGCCCATGCAGTCCCACCCACTGCCCTGGGCAGGGACACCTCCCACCAGACCAGGTTGCTCCAAGCTCCCTCCAACTTGGCCTTGAACCCCTCCAGGGATGGGGCTGCCACAGCTTCTCTGGGCAACCTGGGCCAGGCTCTCACCACCCTCACCGCAAAGAATTTCTTCCTGAGATCTCATCTCAATCTCCCCTCTTTGAATTTAAAACCATTACCCCTTGTCCTATGGCTCCCCTCCCTGATCAAGAGTCTCCCCCCCCGCCATCTCTCCTGTAGCCCCTTCAGGTACTGGAAGGCCATCATAAGTTCTCCCCAGGCCGAACAACCCCAACTCAGCCTGCCTTTGTAGGAGAGGTGCTTGTGCACCTCATTTCATTTCTCAGATTAGCAGTTTCACAAGATTCATCTCAACACATTATTCCTTCCTTGACATGTCAGCTGCCAGGAACACTTCAGGGACTTATGCAACATCTTTCTGATGCTGAATTAAACTAAAATTTCTGAAGAATATTTCTAAAGCTTCTACAATAAAGATTCCATTGGGAACAACCACATTAGGGCTGGTTGTTTTGTGTGTTGTTTGGTTTTTTAAAGAGTGGACTAAAATCAACCAAGTGCTGCTCCCAGACCTACAGAGACTGGCTATATTCACAAACCATCATTCCATCTTTATTGTGATTTTGGAAGCTTTTCACTGAAGCTACAGGAGACACTCACCAGTCTTCTTGGGATTAAGAGGTAGCAGCAACTACGCCCACCTTTTGGGCAGCTTCTTTCTTGGCTTGGTGAGCCTGCAACACCGCCACGGCCTCCTCCACCTTGGGGAGACAATTCACCTGGTGAGACCTGCTCTCCAGAGCGAAGCCCACCCCAGTCCAGCCAGTCTGAAGAAACAGACCAGTTTACCTTTGACCGGAGGGACTCTGGAGACTCCAACATGTGCAGCAGCTCCGAATTGTCTATCTCTAGCAGCATTCCTGTGATCTTCCCTGCAAGGCTGGGGTGCATGGCTTGGATCAGGGGGAACAAACGTTCTCCTGGGGACAACAACAAAACAAAAAACCAAAAAAACAAAAAAGGAGTTCAGACAGCAGAGTTTTAATTAAAAGTCATGTCTGAAACCTGAGGGGATTCCAGAGTAAAACCCAATCTGTAAGAAGGGGAGTTGCACTTACCCAGCATCTGTTTCTGCTCCTGGGGAGGGGCAGCAGCCAGCATGGAGGCTGTCAGTGGTTCCTGTCCCTGCACATGTACCGCAGGCTGGGGCGCCTGTGGAAGGGCAGACACCAGGGTTCTCAAACAGGTACCGGACCGATCGCTTCATATTTAATGACAATAAGATATTCCCTCCTAAAACACTACCTTTGTCAAGCCTACAGCAGGCTTAAGTTTTAGAAAAGGACAGATAAGGTGCCCTTGGTTCACAAACGTGGTCCCTCTAACTCCTGAACTTAAAACCTCCTAATGTAAGATATTTACAATGCCCATGTGTGACAAATCCTGGATCAATCATTGTGAGACAAATACCGCAACTGAGAAAGCACAACACCCATCCCTGATATTTTTACAATTACAAGTTTGTGGGAGAAGCAAACTGTTTTCAAGGATACCCCAGTGAGGATTTAGCAAAGAGGTGAGAGAATGAACAGTTGCAAAACGGGAAAGTGAAGAACCCAGAAAAATATCCTCACAGCAAATCTGGGTAAAAAAAAAAAAAAAAAAAAGTACATGTGGATTTCTCAGAAGTTTATGACAAGTTTCTTTTCCAAAGTCTCCTAAAAAGCTAAATTGTCATGGGGGCAAAAGGAATGGCAAGTCATCCCCCCTTCCCAAGTCACAAACCTGAACGTCCCCCCCAAAAAAGTGAACAGGAGGGGGAGGGAGTAATAAAAAAAAAAAAAAAAAAAAAAAAGGCTTGCAAGTACGAGACAAAGAAACCAAGGAGATTGCTCCTGGCAAAGGTACAACTGCCAGGTTTTTAAATTATAAAACTAAGCTTGAAGTTTCTGTAAAAACACCTCAGTTGCACATAAAACCTGTTGGGACTGCAGGAATTGCAGGGACTTCATGGCCCAGCCCCTTTGTTACCTGCAAAGGCTGCACCGCAGGGTGGGGGCTGCGGACACTCGAGGCGTATTTGTAAGGAGGAACTGCTCTGGGAGCCGGGGCAGCTACAGGCGGACGAGGGGCTAAATTCTGAGCCGCGGTGCCAACACCTGCAAAAAACAGTTACAGACACCTGTAGCAACATGCAAATAAGTTGAGATGTCTGATACCAACCGCTGAACTCAGAATATACCCTGCATAGTGACACTTCCTTCGAAATTGGTGTCTCCAAAATGCAACTCGCTGTTTTAGGAAGGGGCTATTCTCCCTAAACCATGCATTCCATATTCAAGATTTAAGATATTTTCTAGTTATTCACTGGAATAAAGTAAATTTGGATGCTCTACTCTGAAAACAATATCCATAACCTACAAAGCCTTTTTTTCCTGAGTGGTCAGTGTTGCAGAGGTGTAGAGATGAGTTCCAAACCAGCAGAAAACAACCCATCTGGATTTTCCACTGCTGTGCTGTAGCACCAACTGTCTCCAACCCTGCACTGCACAGCAAGGAATAGGAAAGATTCAGGTGCTGTCACTGCCGCTCGCTCCAGGTGGCCCTTTGGTTATCCGTATCCGACAACCATCTTTGGAAAGCAAAAGTCAAGTCTCAACAGCATCCTCCTCCCTCACAGACCAGGGGACGAGCCAGGGAGGCAGACACCTTACCAACTCGCTGGGCAGCGGCAGGGAGGCCACGGGAGGCCGGAGCATTGCCAGCAGGGGCC